ACTCCCTGGGAGAAATCCACTATCACAACTGGATTTTTTACGCTCAACCGAATAACGTTTACACCTCATACTCGGTTTTCTAGCTAACCGAAAACTTTACAATCTCACACTCTTGCAATCCCACTTTACACCCTCTCAAGTGTTGGTCTCTAGTCCGTGTCCCCCTCAAGTGTTAGGAATTACAACATCTCTCTAGGCATTACCACCTACTGCACTCCTCTTGGGACGACCCCGCCTCTCACCACACACTCCTCTCGGTGTATAAGTGTATTATAAAGTGAATCTCACAATAAGCACAAAATAACAAAATGATTATTCTTTAATATGGATGAGAACACAATGAAAGCTCACACTCTAAGTCAAAAACCTACAACCCCAAATTATACTATGAATATAAATACAATAAGCTCAATAGGTTGTGTGTGAACAAAGAGATAAATTAAATCAAACCAAACTCAATTTAAATCTAGCTTATGAAAATTATGAACAAAATAATAAATAGCTAGAAATAGAGTTTAGAAAAACTTCTCTATGATAACAAGAGAGAGAGAGAGGGATAAGAGTTGGATGCTCAAACACCGATGGATGATCTTCCTCAAGCTCTTGTGAAATTGTTTTCACAAAACAAACTCTCAATTGCTTAAAAGTTTTTTAAACAAACACTAAACAAAACTTTAAACCCTTGTTAAACCTTCTTAAAACATTCTCTTGAGTTATATATAGAACTGAGGATATGTGGGGGTATTTATAGGAACCCCAAAGCCAAGAGAAAACAAGGCAAAAAAGACCAAAAACCCAAAAATAGTACAGTCTGGAAATATAGCCGTTACAGTGTTATGAGTCGACTTGGTACTGTTCATGAGTCGACTCATAAGTAGCCGTTGTCGACTTGGTACTGTTCATGAGTCGACTCATAAGTAGCCGTTACATGCTAAAAACCAACTTATGGGTTGACTTATAAAATTCATGAGTCGATCGACTCATCATGCATGGGTCGACTCAGCAGAAACAAAACACACTTACCAGCACAGTTTATGAGTCGACTTATGACAGGCATGAGTCGACTCAGCCTGATGGGTCGACTCATGATGTTATGAGTCAACTCGTCAGAAACAAAATGTAAACTACACAACAGTTTATGAGTCGACTCAACACTGTTCATGAGTTGACTCAAGACATGCACACTGTCTGTTTTAAACAGAAATCTGATTTTCAAACCTCTTTTAAAAATAACAAATAAAATCATAAAAATGTAAAACTTTGGAAAATGATTGTAAACATGATAATAATCATGCTACAAAAACTGGTTTTCAAAAAGGACCTCCCAAATAAAAAATATCATTATTTTGCAAAATAGTCCAAAATATGAAAATGTAAACGCATGAGTTTTGATATTTTAGCTTAACCATGTTTTGAAACATTACAAAATAATTTTGTAGACTTAATAAAAGATGTATATGATTATTATTAAGTTCAAAAATTGAGAATATAATATTTTCATAAATACAATAGAATATGAAACATATGAGTATTTATATGAATATATATTTGTTTCATATCTATGAAATTAAACCAAAACATATATGTATATATATATAACTATATATATACAAAACCAAAACGTGTATGTGTGTATATGATTGAGCTTAAAGTACTAACACACATAATATAAACCTAAACTAAATATACCCAAGCTATGATCTTGATCTTCAATAAGCTCTTCTTGGTAAACTTGCAGATGAAGCTTTAACTTGAATCTTTAACTTGAATTACAAGGTTTCACTCCACGATTCCGCCAACCTCCATTTGGATATGATCGTTGTGGCACAATTCCATCCATCCTCCAATATATTGTTTGTCTACAATAAATAGATAAACACAAACACTAGACAAACAACATTAGTGGTAAATTGTTTGTTAAACATTATCAAAACAAAGAGGCCAACACAAACTATACAAAATATGCAATTATGTAAGTGAGTTTAGTGCTTATAGAAGTAGCCTATAAGGCTTGGATGGAAACACAGGGTTCAAATCCTAACGTAGTAATTTTTTTACTATTCAAGGAAAAAATATGTTGGGAGATTCGAACTCAAGGCCACTTGAATGATTGAAGTCTAGCTTTCTTTGACCTAACAACTTAGCTAACTATTACGATCATGTTAGATTTGAACTTGAAATTATATATTAAACTCTTCGGAATTTACAATTCTGTGGAGTTTAGCCTAACTCTAAACTACACAGGATTGAGAATCTCGTACAGTTTAATTACCTGCTAAACTTCAGGGGATTCTAAATCTCGTAAAGTTTTAGCAACTTATTTCTGATTTCCGATCCACTTTTAGCCAACTAGCTGAAAATAGGTCGAAAGAAGAAATTTTTAATATAGACTCACTACCGTATTTTATCACAATAATCAACCATATCACTTTTTTATTGGCGAAATTGATCCAGTTGCTGCCACGTCAGCTTCGTGGCCAGAAATTGGGTCGATTTTTAAAAAATCACGTTGCTTAACTAGTCAGGGTTGACAGCCCCGACTAATTAGTATGTGCTCGAGACCCTGATTCAAGTCTTTGCCAAAAATTGGCGGGATTGCCAAACCTGACTAAAATTACCGGGTTTAGCAACCCGACAATTATTTCTGTGCCAAATTGGTCGTCATTGACCAATTTCGAGCTTCAATTGGCCGGTCCCCAAATAGTAGGGGTTGGCAACCCTAACTATTTGGCGGAGACTTTTGAAATTAGTCCCCCAAATAGTCGAGGTTGGCAACCTAGATCATTTTAGTTGGCAACCACTTAGAGCTGTTTCTAATTAGTCAGGGTTGCCAACACCGACTAATTAGAAGTTCATTTTTTTTAAACAACCTAGTTTCTGGCCATGGTGCTGACGTTGCCAGAAACCGGGTCGATTTCACTAAATAAAAGTGAAATGAGTAGAATTTTGAAAATAAATTAGGGAATGAGACTGTTTTGAAAATTTCTCCATCGAAAATGCTAAATAAATTCAAAGTGGTCACTTTTTTTTTAAATAAATCTTAAATCTTAAAAATGATTCGGTTTAAAATTTGTCCCCCTCAGACCTAAACCCCCGCTGCCCCTTTGCTTCTCTTCCTCCTCCGTCTCCTTCCCCCACAAAAAAAAAAGAAAAAAAAAAGAAAAAAAGGAAAAAAAGGAAAAAAGAAAAAATCCCAGTCATGCCCTCGTCTCCCTCCCCAGACTCAAAGCCCTAACTAAAAAAAAAAGAAAAAAAGGAAAAAAAGGAAAAAAGAAAAAATCCCAGTCATGCCCTCGTCTCCCTCCCCAGACTCAAAGCCCTAACTAA